GGATACATGTTGCCTGTCAGTGTCTCATGGGGACATTTCTGTGCGGCCTTTCCAGGTCCTGTAGACCTGTGTGCCCCTCCTCTACCCACATGGATATCCATTTAATATCCCCTATGAACACTTTCATGTGCCTCTTAGTGTCTAATGGATCAGTGCTTTCCCTTTGTCTCCTGTGGTTGTTACTTTGTACCCATCCATTTTCCCATGTGGACATTCCTGTGCATCCTCCTAGTGTTGCATGTGGACCTCTGTACCCCTTCAATAATGCAGGCTCCTTGGGTGCAAATGTGTGCAGAGCAAATTTCATGAATGGTTGAAAAAAGCTCCTCTTATTTAAAGAGATTCTACCTCAGAGCCACTTGGTAGAGTTGTGTAAAAAGCAGATTCCTAGGCTTCATTCTGGACCTACTGAATCTAAATGACTAGGATTGAGTCCAGGAGTTTTTACTTTAAACAAGTTCCATGGTGCTATGGTCTGAATGCCTTTGTCTCTCCCAAATTCGTATGTTGAAGCCTAATATTCAATGTGATAGTGTTAGGAGGTGGGGCCTCTGGGAGGTGATTAGGTCATGAAGGCAGAGCCCTCATGAATGGGATTAGTGTTCTTATAAAAGGGGCTCAAGAGGGCTCTCCCCACGTGGGGGGCTACTGCAGGGAGCCCCCTGTTAGGGCAATACCCAGTACAGTCACTGGGGTGGGACCATCCCTGCAGCCCCAAACAGGCTGAGCCGCCAGTACTGCAGTGGGCTTCAGGCACACAACACGGGCACTGAGCCTCTGCAGGGATAGGACCACCTAAAGCCAAGCGGGCAGGGCCACCAAGAGCCTTGGAGACCAAACCTCTGCCACAATGCATCCAGAAGATACTGGATTTTAATTAGTGTTTTAAAAGGGTGGTTTTGATGTGCAGCTTGGGTTGAGAACCAGTGGTTTGGCCCTCCCTTCTTCTATTCTCTCTCCTCTCTATGAAATATCCTCTTTTTCTTCCTAAGCAAATTCTGGTTTTGTTCACGTATCTATATTTATCCTCCATGCTCCATGCAGTTCCTTGCCTCTAAGGAAGCCTACTCCACTCATGGCTGCAGGTATAATTTTGCATTGTTAATTAACGCTCATTGCTCAAGAGCAGTCTCAAAAGCTTTAGGAAAAAGTAGGGGACCCAATTCAAGCCAATGAACCATCATTAGGAGAACTTGCCAGAGATATCTGGAAAAATTCTTCCTCATTCTTAAGAGTAAGTCAGTATTGGACTTCTAACAATAGCAGAGTAGCTCGTATTGGTCTACTTTTCTGCTGGTAACAGTCATAAGTTTTAAACAAAATATAAGAAAAAATAACAGTTGTTTCAAGGCACTGGAAAGCAACAAAAGCAGGCAAGAACTGAAAGGGACACAGTCTTGAAAAAAGGGAAGCACGCTGGGTAAGATATCACACATAACTGGCACTTCCCTTGAGAGAACTTCCTCATCTGCACAATGTAAAGTAGCAGAGCTCAGGCAGAAAACAGCAGTCTCACTGGGTTGAGGAGTCAGAGGATAGTTTTTAGGGTTATTGAAGAGAAAATTCCAGAAAGGAGGGGGCCACAGAGAAGTGAGTCCCAAAATCTGAATACAAACTTCCCTCACATGCTTGGCTGATTCCTAAACAATGCATGTATGTGCCAAGACTCCAGAAAGCCCAGCTAGAAAGCAACTCTGGAAACCTGAAAGAGATGGGCAAGGATTTTAGCAATTATGTAGTGTTATAAAACCTGAGTTTGGAGTTCAAATCCTGCTAAATTGGAAGGTTTAGTAAATACCTTGGTCTTTCCACTGAAATCCCAAGGGCCAGGTCTTGAGAATAAGAACCAAAATCCAGGACTAACAGCTATACCCTAAAACTAACAGAAAACATAAAATAGACTGCTGTAAAAAGCCTAAAGCCAAGCCTCTGTAGGATCAAGGTATTCCATCTGTAATTTAACTGTCTGCTACAAAAAAACCTCAACACATCTTAGAGGAAGATTAGAGAATCCACAGTTTTTACAACGTATCGACAATGTCTGGTACATAATCAAAAATTACTAGAAGTGTGAAGAAACAGGAACATGTGATCATATTAAATTAAAAAAGAAAGTTGATAAAGAGCCCTGGATCACCCAGATATTCGAGTTAGTAGACAAGAACTTTAAAACTATTAAAAATATATTTTAAAAAATCAATAGAAAACATTGATACAATAGGTGAAGGGGTAGGAAATTTCAAGAGAGACATGAAATTCTGAAAAAGAACCAGATGTAAATCCTAGAAGTTAAATAAAAATGTTGAAATCAGGGGTGCCTGGGTGGCTCAGTCGGTTAAGTGGCTGCCTTTGGCTCAGGTCATGATCCCAGGGTCCTGGGATTGAGCTCCACGTTGGGCTCTCTGCTCAGCAGGGAGCCTGCTTCTCCCTCTCTCTTTGCTTGCCACTCCACCTGCTTGTGCTCTCTCTGTGTCAAATAAATAAATAAATGTTAAAAAAAAGTTGAAATCAAACTTATCAAATGGGAAATAAAGAAAAATATGGCAGAAGAAACTTGATAAAGTTTGATGACAAAGTTCATGACAAATCAATAAAAAAATTATGCAAACTGAACCAACCACAGAAGGAAGGAAAACTGAAGAAGGAGGAGGGGAGAACAGAGCCTCAAGGGTTGTGGGACAGTATAAAATGATTTAAAATAGTTATATTTAAAGTCCCAGAATAAGAAGAGACACAATGGAGGAGAAAGTATATTTAAAGATAGATTGGGGTCGCCTGGGTGGCTCAGTCAGTTGAATGTCTGACTCTTTGGTTTTGGCTCAGGTCATGATCTCAGGGTCATGAGATTGAGCCCCATTTCGGGCCCTACACTCAGCTGGGAGTCTACTTGAAATTCTCTCTCTCCTTTTCCCTCTCCCTCTGCCCCTCTCTCCTACCCCCTGCTAGGGTGTGTGTGCTCACTCGCACGCTCTCTCTCTCCCCAAAATAAATAAATAAATTAATTAATTAATTAATTAATTAACTAAATAAAATCCTTTAAAAAATGAAGATAGATTGGTTGAAATTTTACTTTGCTTTAAAACAACATTCCAGAGATCTAAGAAACTCAAAAAACTCCAGAAAGGTTGGGTGCAAAGAAAACTATACCAAGGCACATCGTAATAAAACTTCTGAAAATGGGGCGCCTGGGTGGCTCAGATGGTTAAGCGTCTGCCTTCAGCTCAGGTCATGATCCCAGGGTCCTGGGATCGAGTCCCACATCGGGCTCCCTGCTCCTTGGGAGCCTGCTTCTCCCTCTGCCTCTCTCTCTCTCTTTCTTTCTCTCTCTGTCTCTCATGAATAAATAAATAAAATCTTAAAAAAAAAAACAAACTTCTGAAAATGGAAGAGACAATTTTTAAAGAGATAAAGACATTATATAGAGGAATGATGATAAGAATGACTGCCAACTTCTTACCAGAAATAATAGAGGTCTCAGAATAATGAAAAGATGTAGTTCAAGTGATAGAAGGAAAGACAATGTCCAACTTAGAATCCATATACTGAAAAGCTATCCTTCAAAGATGAATGCAAAATTAAGAAACTTACAGAAAAACTAAAGTCTAGAGAACTCATTACCAGCAGAATCCCACTATAAGAATTATTAAAGGAGGAGTGCCTGGGTGGCTCAGTCGTTAACCATCTGCCTTCGGCTCAGGTCATGATCCTGGGGTCCTGGAATCGAGCCCCACATCAGACTCCCTGCTCATGGGACGCTTGCTTCTCCCTCTTCCACTCCTCCTGCTTGTGTTCCCTCTCTCACTGTCTCTGTCAAATAAGAAAGGCAAAAAAAAAAAAAAAAAAAGAATTACTAAAGGAAATTCTACAGGCTGTAAAGGAAAGGGACCTGATGGAATTCAGACCCATAAGAAATAATATAGAGGGCCAGAAATAGTAAGTATGTGGGTGAATGTAAACAATATTTTCCCTTTTTTCCCTTAGATTTTTATAAAGACAATAGGCTTGTTAAAGCCAAATAATAATAATAATGTATTATGGGGTATATAACAAGTAGCTAGAAAACATATGTCAACAATAGCACAAAAAAAACAGGAAAAAGTAAAAATACTGTACTGCTACAAATTCTTATGTATGAAATAGTATAATTTTAATTCAATAATTCATAAAGAATACATAACATCTAATAAAAGAGATTCAGAATACAAGAAAAAAAAGTAACAGAATCAAATGAAAAAAGAGGCAAATCCACAATTATAACTGAGATTTTAACGTGCTTCTCTCAGTAATTAGTTGAAGTAGTTAATAGAAATTTTGAGCTACACCAACAACCAACTTGCTCTAGTTGATATTATAGAACACCACACCAATTACTGAATTCTTTGCAAGAGCACATGGAATTTCCAACACAGATTATATGTTGATTCATAAAACAAATATTAATTCATTTAAAAGGATTAAAGTCATATAGAGTACATTCTCTGCCCACGATAGAATGAAATTAGAAAGCCAATATCAAAGACATGTCTAGAAAATTCCATAAATATTTAGAAATTCATTACATCCTCTAAATGATTCTCAAAGAAGCAATTACAAGAGAAAGTCAGAGGACATTACCAAATTTGAAAAACCCATGATTCTCCCTTCTTTGTGGGGAAAAACCCAGTTCTTCCCTAGTGGGTGTCTTCCTTTCTTTTACACAGAACACTCACAACACTTCACTTCTGACACTTCTTCACCAAATGTGGGGGGAACCATCCCAACCAGTTCTCCATGATGTCAGCTGAGTGCCCTGCAATTCAAGTCAACTCTGACACTACCTACCCAGGGATAGCATCAGATCCCACAGTTTAAGATTGCTCCCACCCCACTTTAGATGCCCATCACAAGTAGTAGGTTCCCAGGTTACCCACAACTTCTGTTGATCAGAGGTTCCTAAGACCGCCTCAGCTTTGATTAATTTGCTAGAGCAGCTCACAGAACTCTGAGAAACAATTACTTACATTTACCAGTTTATTAAGGGATGTGATAAAGGATACAGATGAACAGCTAGATGAAGATACACATAGGGCAAAGTCCGGGAGGGTCCCAAGCTTAGGAGCTTCTGTCCCCGTAGAGTTGAGGTACATCAGTGTGAATGTGTTTACCAGCCTGGAGATTCACTGAACCCTGTTTTATTGGGATCAAAATAGAACATAGACATGATCAAATATTAATTCCATTTCCAGCCCTCTTCCCTCTCTAGAGGATGGGGGGTGGGGCTGAAAATCCTAAGCTTCTAATCATGGTTTGGTCGTTTGGAGGCCAGCCCCGATTCAGGAACTGTCCAGGAGTCTACCTGGAATTATCTCAATGGAACAAAAAGTACTCCTGGTGCTTTTACCATTTAGATAATTAAAAGAGTTTTAGGAGCTCCATTCCAGGAACCAAGGGCAGAGACATATATGCCATACACATGTGCCAGAGGCAAGCACAAAGGAAGCCTGCCCTGTCTAAACATACTGATATGTGAGCTGACCACTTCCCCGATTGTTAGAAATGGGCATTTATGGTGATTAACATAACAATAAAAAAATTAAAAAAAAAAAAAGAAATGGGCATTTATCTTTCACTTTCGCTGGCCAGCATGCAACCTCTTCTATATATTAGGAGTTCTCCACTTGATGAACAGCCCACTTCTCACCACAGAAGCTAAAAATGTCAGATACTCACCTCATCTTTCACTTTGGCTGGCCAGCATGCAAACTCTTCTATATTTTAGCAGTTCCCCACTTGATGAACAGCCCACTTAGCACAGAAGCTAAAAATGTCAGATACTCACCTCATCCTTGAGGTTAGGGTGCAATATGAGTAAGGCTCCACCAAACAGATGCATAAGCCCACACTTGAATCAGAATCTAATGGTAACTCATGAAGTTTCATGAGGCAGAAGCAGAGGCTGAACGTTTCTGTGTGGTTTCCAGAAAGAGCAGCATCACTGGTTCTAGTAGTAGAACCTGACTTCTAGTGTAGGAGCACCTGTAGTGGCAGTGGTTACATTGCCACCAGAATGTGTGGATAGATTTTGAAGTTCCTGAATTTGAAAGCTCCAAGTCTCCATCACAATTCTAATTAACCAAAATCCTTTTAATAAATTGCTTTTTTCTTACTCAATTAGTCTGAATTTTTTTCTTTAAATTTTTTTATTGTTATGTTAATCACCATACATTACATCATTAGTTTGTGATGTAGTGTTCCATGATTCATTGTTTGTGCATAACACCCAGTGCTCTACACAGAACGTGCCCTCTTTAATACCCATCACCAGGCTAACCCATCCCCCCACCCCCCTCCCCATCAATTAGTCTGAATTTGCTTCAGTTGCTTGACACTAAAAACCCAATTGAAATTTTCTTGAAGTTCTCAGAAGTAGCGTTCTCTGTTAATTACAGCTGAAAGTATCCTAAGTAATCCTAGTCCTGGGCTCTGTCAGTTATCTATTACCACATAATGTTCTGCAGTAAATGATGCAGTAGGTTAAAACAACAATTATTTATTCTTGTTCACTCGTCTGTGGGTTGCCTGTAGGCTGAGTTTATCTGACTTTGGCTCCAAAACGTGGACAGGGTCTAACCAGCACCTTGCTTCTCTCATTCTCCTGGGACCTCCCAAGGCTTGTCTTCTTATGGAAATGACAGTAGTCAAGAGGGCAAGACCAACTGGGCAATTATAATTCAAGCCCCCTCATGGAAGGTATACTAGTATCCCAATGGCCAAGTCCCATGGCTAAGCCCAACATCAGTGACGTAGGAAATATATCCTCTAGTGACATGAGCTGCACAGCACATGGCCAAGAGCATGTATAGAGCAAGGGATAAAGAATTGGAACAATAATGAAATCTATATCAACCTACAGCCCATTCTTATCCCCACCAAAACCAAAGTGTTAGGTGACACCTGGCAATGGTGTCATAGTTTCTGTTGTGTTGGGGTTGAAGACTTGTCACAAAAGATCTTGGACACACTACCTTCAGAGGAAGAAATGAACCTCTGTCATCTTTGTATGATCGTGATGATGATGAATCATAAACGATGGGGTTGTTAAAGATCTTAAAGACCCCTTAGTAAATCCCATTGCTTGATTGATAAACTAAAGCACCAAAATGTGAGTGACTTGGTCATGGTGTATGGCTAGAAAATGGCGAGAGAATGACTGGAACACACACTGAACGTGATGGGGTTAATATTTTGGAGAAACATTAATGTGCTTTTCTTCTTTGCCTGAGTATGTTAATGCTCCCTACTTCCCTGGCCTGACCCAAGCGTGTGTGTGTGTGTGTGTGTGTGTGTGTGTGTGTGTGCACGTGCGCGTGCATACACAAGGTAGTGGTGAAGAGGGATAGGGTGGGGGTAAGGGTGGGGTGGGGGTGAAGATGAGGAGGGAGAGTATAATTCGTTTCAGAAGGTTTGCAAAGAGAACAAAAGAATTTATATTCGGATTCTGACATTCGAAATAGATTACGCAGCAAGACAATAGCTATGAAAGAGAGTACTTCTACTTTCCTTTATCCGCTCCAACCTCACTCCTTTCTGGCCCTTCACAGTAGCATAAAAAAATCAAGTAAAGGGGCACCTGGGGGGCTCAGGTGGTTAAGCGTCTGCTTTGACTCGGGTGGTGATCTCAGGGTCCTGGGATCGAGCCCCACGACGGGCTCGCTGCTCAGCGAGGAGTCGGCTTCTCCTTCTCCCTCTGCCACTCCCCTGCTTGTGCTCTCTCACTTGGTCTGTCAGAAAGATATCTAGATAGATAGATAGATGATAGAATAATCAACTATGAAAATTTGGAGTCACATAAATTCTCTTACAGTTTAGAAAACAGCTCTTCTGCTTATGGCAGGCTTGGAGGTCTATGGGACAATGGGGATATGTTAGGACGAATTAAAGAAAATCTCACCCCCCTTTAGCTTGAGGGGATTGTAGAAAGAAGAAGAGTGAGAAAAAGAGCAAGTGGGGCAGAGGTGAGGATCGAATAGGGGTGCACAGACCCCAGAGGCAGAAGAAGGTCGTGTATCACGTCCCCTTGCTTTCCTTCACGCGGCCTTATTTCAGGCTCTGCTTGGGCCGTGGGGCAGGGGTGCAGGGAGAACAGCTGCAGTCTCAGTTAATCTGAGTGGGGACCCAGGAGGCCACGCTTTCAACAGGCTTCCTGGTGATTTTAATATGTATTGGCTTGAAAACCACTGAGATCAAAGTGAGATGAACATGCAGATTCCCCCACCCTGCTTCTCAGCTTGAAGCCCTCATGAGAATAAAGAGGTTAATTATGGACAAAATAAAGAAATTAATATTGCTCAGAACATTTGGGGCGTGGGTTCATTTGTCACACATAACATGTGAGTGAAAGTACTCTATAAATTGTAAAGAGCTCTCCTCTGGAAATTTCCATTCCTGTAGCCAAGTTGTAGCCCAGAGTAGAAAAGGACTTCTCTGGTTAGGACTCCAGGAACCTGGGAAATGAAAATAGATTCAGGTTTTAGCTAAATGCCCATAGCACAGCTGAATGTTCTTCCTCGAATCAAATTAAGTAATTTCTTTTCCCTAAATCAAAGTGAGATGAGCCAAACAAAAGTACTTTCTTAAGTAGTCGATCACTAGTTGCAAATTCCGGAGGGCTTTGCTCCTAGAGTTGGAGGGGGCAGGTGGAATGGTCGTGGTTGTGGCCAGGGCTCCGGAGTCAGAATGAGTGAGGTCAGAACGCTGGATCTGCCCTTACTAACTGTGTGACTTTGGAAAATTTGCAAAATTCCTCACAGCCTGTGTTCTCATGAGTAAAATGGGCCTGATTATACAGCTTCCTGCCATAGGGTGTTGTTGAGGGCAGACAATCCACAGTACATGCTTCTGCAGAGCTGTTATGAGTCCCTTTATCTAAGAATTCTGTTGAAATTTTTTTTAAGATTTTATTTATTTATTAGAGAGAGAGCACAAGCAGGGGAGAGGGAGAAGCAGGTTCCCCGCAGAGTAGGGAGCCTGATGTGGGGCTCGATTCCAGGACCCCGGGATCATGACCTGAGCTGAAGGTGAATGCTTAACCGACTGAGCCACCCAGGAGCCACTCATTTGAAATTCTTAAGAGAGACCTAGGTCCTCTGGTAGACCTACTGAATAAGAATACCCAGAGGTAGACTTTAAACAGCTACACAGGATGTCCCTGTGCACATGGAAGGATTATTCCAGAGTACCAGTACTCAGATTTTAGTGCACATCAGCATCACCTGGAGGGCTTGTGGGGTCCTAGCCCCAGAGTTTGCAATTCCGGAGGTCCAGGGTGGGGGCCTGGGAATGTGCACTTCTAACAAGCTCCCAGGGGATGCTGATCCTGCTGGTGACCATGCTTCCAGAACTGCCCCAGGGTGGGGGCAGCCACCTAGGCCATCAGCACAAATCTGGCCCACTTCTTGTTTTTGTGAAGGCAGTTTCATTAGAGCACAGTCCCCCTGTGTATGTAGCAACTGCGGTTGCTTTTGCCCTGCATTGGTGATGTCGAGTCGTTGTAACCGAGATCGCAAAGATTAGAGTATTTACTATCCAGTCCTTTCCAGAAAATATTTACCAGCCTTTGTTCCAGAGTAAGAGTTCAGGTACTTTGGGGCACCATCTTAGCCTTGGAACACACCCATCATTGGATTAAGTAATTCAGGGCTTGATAAAGGGTGGGGTTCAATCAGGAACGTGTGTTTCCAGTACTTGTGTTTCCAGTGTTGTGTTTCTTCAAATCTTGCTCTTGTTCTATTTGTAAACTTACACATTCCTACAGTGAGTAGTTACAAGCTGGCACTGAAATTTTAATAAAAAATTCTATAAAAGGTAAATATTGATGATATTGTCTACTTGATTTTATTAGTCTTTGTTGTCATGTCTAATATATTAGCTTAGCCACCTTTTATGATGCCAACAATTTACTTCAAAGGCCTTCATCACAAATGAATGCTTGCACATAAGAGTCACCTGAGGAAACTTTAAAAACATACCAATATCTGGGTCCTCCCACCAGAACTTCTGATTTAAAAGTTATGGGGTGGGACTCAGTCTTTGATGTTTTTAAAAGCTTCCAGATGATTCCAATAAGCAGCCAGCATTGAGAACAATGAACACAGTGTGATTTTTCAAATGTACTAGTTAAGGGGCACCTGGGTGGCTCAGTAGCTTGAGCGTCAGACTCATGATTTCAGCTCAGGTTGTGATCTCATGGGTGGAGAGATTGACCCCTGCACCCCCACTCCATGCCCGGCTCTGCGCTAGGCAGGGAGTCTGCTTGAGAGTCTCTCCCTCTGCCCCTCCCCCTACTTGTGTGCATGCCCTCTCTCTCTTTCTAAAATAAATAAATACAACTTTTAGAAAAAAACAAAAAATAAAATGTACTAGTTTAAATTATCCCCTAGGTCCTGAACTCTATGAATTAACACCCACAGGTGGTCTCTGTCATTCTCATTACAGAGCTGGCCCTCCGAGCTACCATACTTCTTATTGTTCATGCCACACCCACACCATAAACTCTGCTAATTGGCACAATGAAAGTCAGAAATTGGTTTTCATTGGGAGAGTAGTGATTTGTTAATAATGAATATTAGACATGGTATCTATTAAAATTATTGATATTTAAGGTTTCCTAACCTGTTCAATGTCCAGCTGTGAATTAAGAGGATTCTGACTGCCTGGTGCTAAGAGAAGAGTCAATGAAATACAGTCACTCCTGCCTTCAATGAACCTTTTGTGTCAGGTGATAGTCTGAGCATCTAAAATTTTTTAGAGGTCAGTTTTTCTCAGCTCTGGCTGCACGTTGGAATCATCTGGGGAGATTAAAAACCCTCTCATGCCCAGGGTACACCCCAGATCACTTACCTCAGAATCTCTGGGGTGGGGCCCAGGAATCAGTATTTTCTAAATCTCCTGAGGTGATTTCAATGGGCAGAAAAGGCTAAGAACTGCTCATCTCAAGACAATAAACAACTGGGACTTCATAAAGTTGCAGGGCAGGTGATCTGGTTGTTTCAGTTTGCTAATAAGTGTTTGTTTACTGATAGCTCCATGTGTGGGAGAAATTAGTCTGAGCCTTACTTTCATTATAATGTGATGTGAGGTTTCTGGGAGAGTAGCTAACCTGCACACAACTCATGTACGCATAGGAAACCACCAACAAAATGAAAAGGCAACATATGGAGTGAGAGAAAATATTTGCAAATCATAGACCTAATAAGTGGTTAATATCCCAGATATATTAAGAACTCATACAACTCAATAGAAAAAAACCAGTCCGATCAAAAACTGAGCAGAGGATCCGAATGGACATTTTTCCAAAGAAGACATACAGATGATCGACAGGTACCTGAAAATGTGCTAATCACTCATCATCAGGGAAATGCAAATCAAAAGTACAATGAGATATCACCTCACATCTGTCCGAATGGCTGGTATCAAAAAGATAAGAGACAGCAAGTGTCACCAAGGCTGAGTAGAAAAGGGAACATCTGTGCACTGTTGGTGGGAATGTAAATTGGTGGAGCCACTGTGGAAACAGTGTGGAAGTTCCTCAAAAAATTAAAAATAGGACTACTATATGACCCATCAATCTCACTTCTGGGCATTTATCTAAAGGAAATAAAATCACTATCTTGAAAGAAACACTTAATCCCATGTTCACTGCAGCATTATTTATAATAGCCAAGATACTAAAACAACCTAAGGGTCCATTAATGGATAAATGGATAAAGAAAAGATGGTATATATACTCAATGAAATATTATTCACCTATAAAAAAAAGAAGGAAAACCTGCCATTTGTGACAACACAGATGGACCTGGAAGGTATTATGCTAAGAGAAATGTCAGAGGAAGACAAATACTATATGATCTCACTCATATGTGCAATCTAAAGAACAAGGCAAAACAAACAAAAAACAAGAAAAACCTGAACTCACAGACAAAGGTTACAGATTGGTGGTGGTGGTTGCCAGAGGGAGGGGTGGGTAAAATGGGTGAAGGTGGTCAAAAGATAAAAACTTTCTGTTATAAGTAAGTCCTGGGGATGCAATGTATAGCATGGTGACTATGGTTAGTCGTACTGTACTATATATTTGAAAGTTGCTAAGAGAGTCACTCATAAAAGTTCTCATCACACACAAAAAAATTCTGTACCTATGTGTGGTGATGAACTGTAACTAGACTTCTTATGGTGATTATTTCACAAAATATACAAATAATAATATGAATATATGCAAATATATCAACTTATGCTGTACACCTGAAACTAATACAAAATTATGTGTCAGTTATATCTCAATTAAAAAAAAGAGTCTGAGGGCCCCTGGGTGGCTCAGTCAGTTAATCATCTGCCTTGGGCTCAGGTCATGATCCCAAGTTCCTGGGATCGAGCCCCACATCCAGCTCCCTGTTCAGCAGGGAGTCTGCTTCTCCCTCTGATCCTCCCCGCTCTCGTGCTGTCTCTCTCTCTCTGAAATAAATAAATAAAATCTTAAAAAAAAAAGAGTCTGATATGGTAGATGAAGAAACAGGTGGGCTTAGAAAAAGTTACACAGTACCAAGAGAGGGAATGGAAACCTAGTCTGTCTCAAGGGACCACAGGATTCTACCCACTAGTATCTGCCACGTCCGTGGGCTCTCAAGAACTGAGAGGCAAAGTTGAGATCCTGCCTGTATGCTCCCCACCTCCTTGTTTTCTGAATGTACTGGGAGAGCCCCTAGGAACAAGTCTGTTTCAACATCCTTCATTTTATAAGAGCAGAAGCACAACCAGAGAGGTAACCTACCTTCTTAAAATGACCTAGAAAGTCAATATTAGAGATAGCCACAGGACTCAATGAAGTGTCTCAAAACTGAACTCAGGCAAAGGGGGATGAAAACAGTTTTTATTTATTTATTTATTTATTTATTTATTTATTTATTTGAGAGAGAGAGCACATAAGCAGGGGGAGTGGCAGAGGGAGAGGGAGAAGCAGACTCCCGGCTGAGCAGGGAGCCTGACGCGGGGCTTGATCCCAGACTCCTGGGATCATGACTTGATCTAAAAGCAGACGCTTAACCAACTGAGCCACCCAGGTGCCCCTGAAGAAAGTTTTTAAAGCAAAGTAAGCATTCTATAACTTGATCGTGGTGGTGGTTACACCTTGTATACAATTATCAAGGTATACCATACCTTTGAAATTGATGAATTTTAACATATGTAAACAATAACCTAGATAAAGATGGAAAAGCAAATGTATGTACTCAGTTGGGGTTGGGGTGCCAGGGACCATGATGAATGCTCTATATTTCTTACCTCATTAATCTTTGGGCATGAATATAGCTTGTCTAAACCACTCAGGTACATTTCCTTGGTCTTTCTGACATTTTCTGGAATTCCATATCACACTGTCAATAAAATCTCACTTAGGACTAAATAGGCACTTAATTTTTACGTTGGCGAGCAGGCCCTGCTCCATCCTCTTGTCCGCTCCAGTCTCCATGTCTGTAGCTAGAAAGGTTAGAGGCTGTATCTGCCAAGCACCCCCAGGAAGCCAGGCATGAGTAATTCACTTCATCCACCAACTGCACTTTGGGGTAGGTGCTACTATCCCCACTTCAAGGATGCTGAAGCTTAAGGACAAAGCCCTTAAAAACCCAGGTAGGGTTTCACATCAGGAAGCAGCAGGGCCACCATCTGCCTCTAGGCAGTCTGAGCCCGAGGTTGTTTGCTAACCCCCACACCACACAGCCTCCCAGCCAAGGACACCAGCCAGATCGCTGAACTGCTGCATGGGGGGCCACGGAGTGACGTTGGAGAGATGACAAAGGAAACTTCTCCGGATGCAGCCTGCATCTCCAGACTAGAGTGGCCCCAGCTGATGGTCAGATCTGTGGTCTTGCTCCCAGGGATAGGTTGCGGGCATGAGATGCAGCATGGGAGCCTAGGAATTAGCACAGTCGCTGGGCAAAGGCACAGCCACGGGACCCAAAAGGCCCCCAGCACTGGGGAAGCAGCTGTTTGCCCCAATACACAGCCCTATCTAGTTAAAAAAAAAATTTTTTTTTTAATATTTTATTTATTTATTTGACGGGGAGAGAGAGAGAGAGAGCACAAGTAGGCAGAGAGGCAGGCAGAGGGAGAGGGAGAAGCAGGCTCCCCGCTGAGTAGGGAGCCCGACGACGCGGGGCTAGATCCCGGGATCCTGGGATCATGACCTGAGCCGAAGGCAGCCGCTTAACCGACTGAGCCACCCAGGCGCCCCCAGTTTAAAAAATTTTTAATGTCTGTTTCTCTTCTTGGTCCCTGACATTCCTATAAAATGGAGAGAGCTTCCGGGAATTCTCCTCTTCCTAGCCTGTTGTTTTCAGTTTTGTTTTGATTCTATTTTTAAATAAGTGAAACCTAAGAAGAGCTCCACCCCTCGTCGTTGGTTTGACAACCACCTGCTGCCCTGCTGCCTTTGCAGCACTGAGACTTGGACAGGACCGTGGCGAGATGCAGGCCCTGGGGGGCCCCAGTCCCGGGCAGACGTGCGTGTTGATCCTGATCTTCACAGTGCTCCTGCAGTCCCTCTGCGTGGCCGTAACTTACATGTACTTCACCAGGGAGCTGAAGCAGGTCAGTACCATGCACACGGTCCCTGACAGAGGCTCTCAGCCACCGTGGGGTTAACTGCCTCTGTGTCCTCTTCTGTGAAGAATTTACAGTAGGAAAAAAAAAAAAGTTACCCCTCTCTGCCTGTGAACCCTAACTGCTAACGCGTATGAATACTGAGGACCTGGCAAAAGTGTGAGTTGAAAGGCTTGTGTGAACAGCGTGCAGTTACAGAGCTGGCTCGACCAGCTACTAGCAGACGCAGGAACAAAACTCCTAACGTGGTTGGTTTGTTTTTTCTCTTCAACAGTATGAGCATTTTGTAATACTAGCAATTGAATTAAAGCAGGCACCAAGTCTTAGAATGTCGTCAGGTTTATCTTTTTCCTCCAGGATAAGGGGTGGGGGGTAAGCCCGATCTTTGAAACATGTTTTGGTTGGAGATCTGTGGCATTTCTGTGTTGACAATAGGGAGGATAGGAAGGACTGGCATTCATCTATTCCCTAGCCGCGGACGTGTCATGCATAAAGTCTGTAATAAAGTCTGTTACCAGATGGACTCCGCATTTTATGTTCATGATAAAATAATGGAAAATAAAACGATGGTTCTATATCTGTGGGTGGTCCAAGTATGAATGCAGGTACATTTGACAGAGGGGGAAAAAAAAAAAACTTTGTGCCATTTTAGTTCCTGCATTTCTCAACTATATAAAACTTTTGGAACTATGAATGCAAAATGGCTGAAAATAAACCCAGTTAGCTTTGGGCTTCTAATGTATGTTTTGACTAATTGTGTATTATATAGTAGAGAACTGTGAACTGGAAGGAACTTTGGATACCACTCCCCCTCCATTTTATAGATGAGGAGCCTAGAGACCCCCAGACAAAATGACATATCTCAGCTTGGACAGGGCTTTGGAAGCAGAGCTGAGCTCAGGTCTTTAGGCACCTAAATAACACTCCTTCCTCCCCAACAGGGTGTCCACAGGGTTGACATATTTGCACCCTCGGATGCACACTGCATCCTGCTACATTATGATAAAGCAACATTGCATCTACCAGCTGGCTAGGAAATGCAAGTAGAAGGGTCTCAGAAAAATATAAATTATCCAAATGCCATAGAGTGAGTATCTGTTAAGGAAATGCAGTTTGTATACCCTGTGGAATATACATTTGGTTATCTCAAATGGTTGCAAATTTTTCCTTTGGATTTGGATGTCGTAGACTCTTGTTTGATTTGCAAGTAATTATGAAAATGAGGGGCTACCCTTAGATGACCCGTAAGGTCAGCTTTGCTCTAGGGCACATTCAGAAGAGCCTGGATATTTGTAACTAAAACATCAGTGTAACTATAAACATGCCTCTAGTTCTAAGTCTACCTTAGAAGCTGGAATACTGCTGTGTTTGTGAAATTGGAGCTAGCCTGTCCTAACCTTTGTTAACTTTGCAGGGTACACAGAATGAGTTTGTCTCTTTATTACACAAGTTATTCCCTCAGTTTGCTGACATTACAAGTTGGCCTAATTTTAAGACTGAATTAACTAGTTCTTGACCCAGCAGACTCATGCACTTCTCTGTGTATATGATCAAGTGTTTTTTTAAATTCGACTATAAAAATGGAAATCTCGAATAAAGCTTAACATCTCTGCACATGCATACATTTTTTCTTGACTGCATAGTTACATATGGATACATATATGTATAGACATACGGAAGACTTCACTGAGAGTGCCTAAAAGGGAGGAAAATTAACTGATCTTGAGCAAATACTGTGTTCCAGAAACTTGGTAAAATATTGCTCTATTTGATCCTCATCACAATCTTGTAAATAGAATTACCCCATTTTACAGATAAATAAGGCTCAGGATATTAGGTGATTTGCCCAAAATTATAAAACAGGTTAAAGAAAGCCCAATGAGCCCTGGCATTAGATGGGTGCTCAGTAAACTGTAGCCATTGTAATTAGTATTGAGAAGTCTCTTGAAGTCATCACCCACTTCATCAGGAATGCTTGCAAGGAAAAATGAATCTGAGTCTCTTTGGTTGCCTGTGTAGAACTTGGAAAAGCATATTTAACATAAGAATTAATTTCCTAGGGGCACCTGGGTGGCTCAGTCGCTTAAGCGTCTGCCTCTGGCTCAGGTCATGATCCCAGGGTCCCGGGATTGAGTCCCACATCAGGATCCCTGCTCAGTGGGGAATCTGCTTCTGCCTCTCCCTCAGCTCATGCACTCTCGTTCTCTCAAATAAATCAATAAATAAAATCTTTAAAATAAAGTTTAAGAAAATTAATTTCCTAAAACAGATCACAGATTCCATTTGGCTGATGAAAATTTCCAGAAGATAGACTGAGCAAGGATTATAGGGAGTGTGGCCTAAGGAGAGCTGCGTAACATCTGATCGGACCCTCACAAATAAGCACAAAGAAGCCTGTAGAAACTAGCAAGCCCGAACACTAAATATGGGCTTAGCCTCTAAAGTTTATGTCTCTCTAGGAACATTTTATGACAAGGGGACTGCCTATCACTGCGGCATCATAGATGGGAAGGACTAAGGAGAAGGGGACTCTTAGCCACCAATCTCCATAAATGGTTCTTTATGCTACTTGTGGTTTGCAGAAAATGATTCTCAGAAACTCATGTCAGGGCAGCAGAGAAAGTCAGTGCCGCCGCCTCGAAGCCTCTGAGCCAGCTGGCAAAGGAGTCCACCCTGGAGACCACAAGCCCTGCCAAGGACTGGTTGGCCTTGGCCTAGACAACCGCCATGTTTGTGATGGCGCCCACAGCAGTCACGGTGGAAATCCACCTGTTGGGGCTTCTGGAGCAGAAGAACAGGCACTTGGTGCAAAAGCTGTCTGAGTGGCGTGCAAAGGAAAATAGCACCCACGTCCCCCGGCCCCCAACACCCAGATGTGGTTTAAGAGAGAATAGCTCTAGTCTGAAATATGCTTTAAGAAATTCATGCTTTGAAGTGGTAAGGATGTGGGAAAAAAAAAGGACAGAGAGGGATTTATCATATTAATGATCATGAATCATTCTTGAAACAACCAGGGCACCCCCTCGTTTAGGCAGCTAGTCACCAGCACTGGCCAAAGTCTGTAGGAGAAACCACCAAACATGCAAGAAACATGTGGGGATGGGGAGGAGGGTTGGGGCTTTCCCTTTGGGTTTCGATTGTTCGGAAATCAGTATTTATGCATAGAGTGTCTAGAAGGTGAAATACCACTATGTTGATCATTGTGATCTCTGGATGGTATGATTATGAATGTCTTTTTTCCACTTTATTTTTCTATATTTTATAAATTTTCTACAGAGAATGCTATAAAAAATATCTATGCTATCTATATATGATTTTTATGTAGGCTTAAAGAACATGACATTTTTATATAGTCTTAAGAGAAAACAACCATACACACAATTGTCCACATACAACCTGGCAAACAAGAGAGATCATCTAGAGGTAAAATAAGAAGTAGGATTAGGGTGATTTTAGTGGGTTTTTTTGTTCGTTTATTTTTCGTTTAGAAAAGCATTCTTTACGGGGTGCCTGGGTGGCTCAGTTGGTTAAGCGACTGCCTTCGGCTCAGGTCATGATCCTGGAGTCCTGGGATTGAGTCCCACATCGGGCTCCCTGCTCAGCAGGGAGTCAGCTTCTCCCTCTGACCCTCCCCCCCCATGCTCTCTATCTCTCATTCTCTCTCTCTCGAATAAATAAATAAAATCTTAAAAAAAAAAAAAAAAAGAAAAGCATTCTTTACTTTTCTATATTTTGCAGGTTGCCTGTATACCATCAATGTTTCTAGGCTTCATTAAATTTGGGGTAACAATGGAGTCACATTAGCCTGTCAACCTCCCATGTAGGTCTAGGATCTTACTCAATTTTCAGGGTTCTCCCTCCCACCTCCTAGAGGTGTTTCCGGAAAATCCCCAACGAGTATTCAGAACCACTAGGCCACAGCTGGTTCTGGCCTTGGCTGGGCCCTGCTGCATTCCCACCCTCTCCCACTTCTCTTCAGTTCCCAGGAAGCTGCCAGCTCCCATTACTTCATGGTCCCCAGGCAACTCTCAGCTCCGCCTTCTCCTGCCCCTGGCCCTAGCTTCTCCTGTTCTTCATCATCTCAGGCTGAGGGACTTTCCAACTGCTGTGAAGTAAGAAAATAAATTGCCCTCCTCTCTGTGTCATGCACATCTTTTCATCTCAACAAGTTAGAGAAGTCTGTGAGCCTGTTTATTCAGTTTCATCAAACCAATGTCTGGCCAGAGAACACCCATACTGGTTGCGCCGGGACGGTGTCCAATGTAGCTAACTTCCTGGAAACACCCTCTGGCCTTGTACTGAATCCAGCTCCTGCTCTCTGAGCCTCCCCACCCCCAGTTCCTGGATATGTTCTTGCATTTCTAAAGCATACCCAATTGAGTTCCTTCCTGGGAAATGCTTTTTAGCTCCCACAGATATTGGAGATGCAAATAGGTGAAGAGCATGGGGAGTGAAGGGGCAAAGCAATGTTGTCTAACTCCACCTCTGGTCATATCTCCACTCAGGTGGCCCCAGCTGTCACCCCTAGTACATCTACTAGGTTGAATGTTTGGGTCTTGTAATTAAAAACAGGAAGAAGGAAAATAAACATTTATTTAAAAGTAAATGAATGTTCTATGCCAGAGTACGTGGAAGGAATTCATCAACTCAGGTTTGTACTTTTGCCCCTGAGGGACGTTGATCAAATGTCCGAGGGGTACATGGCGGGGCACAGAACAATGTGACTCTGGCTGAGACCTCTCATAAACAAGTTATTTTGATTTGGAATGAGGTTGTCTTTTTATAGGAAGGAGCCATCATTAAGTTTGATCTTTCCTTCAAGCTTTGGAGTCCCCTAAGTTCAAACGACAGATAAAAATGGCCATTTCCCCATTTATTTCTCCAGAGAAAGGTGATTCAGATTTGTACAGGGAAATAATGTCTCCTCAATCCCAGTTGTTAAAAACAAAAACAGGAAAGAAAAAAAAAACTAATGTCCGACCTTGAATGGACTTCCCGTTTTTCTTTGTAAAATTAACCAGTTATCAGCCTGGAATGTGCTGGATGGTTTGGGATGTATGCGTGCGTGCATTTGTGTTTGTGAGTGCGTGCGCGCGCGCGCGTGTGTTTAATATGAAGCTAGGACTTTGTTGACAATTATCTGGTCATTATAAATGCTTGCTCTCAATCAGAAGGAGGGGGCAAATCTTCAAATCGTGTTTCAAGTGTCTGCAGGTAAGTCCCTGGCTAGTGTGGACATTTAATAAAACAACGTTAAAATTTCCAGTGGCAATGTAGTCTAGATTCTGCCATCCAGAGGAGTAGAAATCACAACAGTAACTAGAATTTACTCAACACCAAAAGCTCAGATCAAGAAACAGAACATTACCTGCACCCCAAAGGCCACAAAGGACTTGTTTAATTTTTATTTGGGATTCTGGAATTTAAATGGTCTCTATTGCCTACCTTTTTATTTATTTATTTATTTATTTTTGAGAGAGAATGCTTGAGTGGGGAGGGGCAGAGGGAGAGGGAGAGAGAATCTTAAGCAGGCTCCACGCTGAGCCCAGAGCCCAATTCAGGACTTGATCTCACGATGCTGAGATCATGAGCTGAGCTGAAATCAAAAGTCAGACACTTAACAGACTGAGCCACCCAGGCGCCCCTCTTTTGCCTCCTTTGTACCTAGGCGGTTTCCCATCTTTAGAATGGGATCCTCACCATCCCAGACCTGGAAAGGACCTCAAAGATCACCACATTGAACCAGCTCAAAAATCAAATAAAATATAGACACAGAAGAGAAGAAGCAATTTGTTGAGGGACACACCGGGGCAGTGAAGGGCATTGTGACCCAGGATGTCTGGCCCACACCTGTAACTTTTCCACAATATCCAACTGCTTCCTTGTATTCACCAGACAAAGGACAGCATGCTTGCTTTTATTTCAAGCCATGAGCTTATCTAAGGTGCCAAGATATCTCTGATTCTGTCATCCATCAGTTCCTCTTGCTTTAACTCGTAAATGAACAAAAATAAAAAGCTCTTGTGCATAATACTGTGTTCTATTCCATCTTAACCCAGATGCAGGACAAGTACTCCCAAAGTGGCATCGCTTGTTTCTTAAAGGAAGATGATATCCCTTGGGACCCTGATGATGAGGAGAGTATGAACAACCCTTGCTGGCAAGTGAAGTGGCAACTCCGTCAGGTTGTTAGAAAGGTAGGTGGACCACTGGGTCATGCCACCAGCAGGCGTGGAAAGTCGAAGGAGAGGGAACACTTAAGATCATCAAGTGGAGATGCCTCATTTTGCAAAGGAGGAAACTGAGGCCCAGAATGTTTAAGTGTTTTTTCCCTGAATTCGTAGAACTAGGAGAAAGTGGAACACCACCAAACAGCAGGTCCTGGCTTACTCCTGGCCTAGAGTTCACTCCTCTACTCCAGAGAGCCTCTCCATCGAGTCTAACCTTTTTTGTCTCCCATTGTGGAAATTGAGGCACAGACAGGGCAATGTGTTCCAGGTCACACGACAATAAAAGATGTGTGTGATTTAGGTGTTGTTGCTCAGAAGACAAAAGAAGCCAAATACTGGTGTTTTATACTCTTCCAGCCTTGTTGATCTCTGGAATTAAACATATATTTATTTTTGTATGCATGTAAAGATGAAGAAAGAGGAAAAGAAAAGGAAGAAAGAGATACCTTGAGAAATTGAAGGTGATGACATCTCAATTTATAGTTAAAAAATAACCAATTACAAAATATCTGTTTATGGAAGTTGCTTAAACAGGATTTCTAGCAGAAACACTATGTCAGCAAACTGTTTCACTAAATCACATAATTTTGCTTTCATAGTTTTGCCTTCTGCCTGTCCGGAAAGGTCAGATGAGAACATGGGTATGAAAGTACTCTGTAAACCGTCAAAGAACATCATTATTTTTCAAAAAAAAAATACTGGGGACATTCCCAGGGCAGGAAGGAGGTGTGTTTTAAAGATGTGATTGCAAGTCCATTGTTTGAATTCTCAGTCTGTCTTTGCATAGAAACAATGTTGTGCTTGTGGTTAGGGCTCCAATTGATAACCCAAGCAGTCTTCACAATAGAGCCCAGATGTCCCCTAGGAAGCCATTTCTACGAGAAATGAAATCTGACCTCGCCTGGAGGCCAGGGCAGGGTGCCCACTGCACACAAACTATACCAAAGCAGCTGTGACTCCATTGCCCCAGGTGGTGAGGACCAGGAAGCCTGGGGCGGGGGGGAGGGGGGGCCTCCTGAGGAGACTGAGAAATGGGATTCGGCAGTCCCTGGGTTGGTGGGGGCAAACCCACAGGTGGCAGGGGAGAGAAACTCAGAACTAGGGCAGAAATCTGGAGCCTGAGAAGGGGGCTGGATGCTGGGGCTGGGCGTGGGGGATGAGAGAAGTAATCTTTCCTGCTGTTCTCTCACTTCCTCCCATTCGTACACGTTGCCACTCACTAGAATAGGGAGAGCTTGGGAGAGGACACAGACAGGTGGTGGCAGGGTAGGGGGGAAGGATTTCCCATTTTTTTTAGGCACTATTAATGGAACAGATTATTTTCCAGTAAACATCCTATCCCCATTCCATATGGTATCTCATTTAATCCTCAGAGCAGCTCTGTGAGGAAGGAATCAAAATTATTATCTTCCTCTCTCTCTTTTTTTAAGATTTATTTATTTATTTTAGAGAGGGAGAACCTAAGGGGGACGAGGGTAGAATCTCCAGCAGACTCCCCACTGAGTGTGGAGCCCCACTTGGGGCTGGATCCCACGACCCTGACCCTGAAATCAAGAGTTAGGTGCTCAACCAACTGGGCCCCTTCTTCCTCTTTTTTTTTTTTTTTTTAAATAGATGAAGAAATTAAGGTTCACATCAGTTAAGTAACTTGAGCAAAGTTTCCAAGAGCTCGTGATTGACACATTTGAGTCTGGTCCATCTGACCAGACTGTCGTCATTCTTTTATTCTGCCTCCCCCACTATAGGAATTACCCCCTCTCTCTTTCCTGCTCCTCCTTCCTTCCTTCCTTCTATCCCAGAATGAGAGAGACAGAGACATTATGCTGAGGCCACCACCCCATGCCCATTGGGCTAAGGTCTGACCTGCCCTTATCGGATCAGCGTTTGAGACCAAGGGGAAAGCCGAGAGCTTCTGGTTTGGGGTGGGAGTACAGAGGAGGGGAGTTTCTGGCAGTTTCAAAAGAAACAACAGTGGTCGAAAAGGAGGGCAGTGATGGACAAAAGCCCTGGTGACAGAACTAAGTGGAGGGGACTTTAGAAGCCACGGATGCGCTCAGCACTACTAGCTAATCTAATAGAAAGACTAAGGATTCCTTCTTTCTTACCAGTTTTCCCCACGGGTTCGTACAAAGAAGGTGATACTAGTTGTTTAGTAAAGGTATTGGCACTTGGTAAAACATGTTTATGTGAAGGATGCCCTGGCCACATGTCAGAAATGAGAGAATGACACTGTTGCCAGGTCCTGCCTTCATGGGCTCTGTATGTCTGTGGGTCTCATGAGAGAGAGCAAAGCATGCCTTATCCTTTGAGGCGTGGGTCTGCCCAGCCATTCAAAGCCCCTGAAAACACTATTACACAGTGCATTTACACGCACACTTGCCTGCAGACCCACACCCCACACGGGGAAACTGAGGAGGTCTGGGCACCACATCCAGTAGCCACAAGGAGGTTTGGGGAACATTAGCTTCATCTAACTTGCCAGATGGCACCTTCCTCCTGGGCTGCTCCAGGTGTGGCCTTTGAAACAGAACTTTCCACAGAAACAGAACTTTCCACAGCTGCCTCTGCCTCAGTATTCACCCCAGCTCCCACCCAACCCCACGCAAACCCTGTGCTTAAACAGCTAAAGATTCAGAGGTTCCTATCTGACTTAGAAATGACATTTTAGACATTTAGACATGAGCAAGAAGGGTCGTAGACATTCTGTAGTCAGTTGAAATTTTTAGGGAAATTAACAAGCTTTATTCAATACTGTTTGCAGATGATTTTGAAAACCTATGAGGAAACCATTCCTACAGTTCCAGGTAGTATTTTTGTTTGTTATTTTAATTTTCTACTGTCGACTTCATGACAGGGTGAATAGCTCTCCAGCCCTTTTTCTCTGCTCCCATCCATCCATCCCCCCTCGGACTGCAAGTCAGTTTCTCAAGCCACTTGATTCTATTTTCCTATTTGCGTTGGCAGTTAGGAAGCTTAGAGCCAATTCTGGGGCCCCACCTCTGGTCAAAACTTTATTGCATCTGAATCTTGTTTTTCCACCATGGATTTCCCTTTCACCTTGATTTCTTCAGTTATTTACTTTTTACTTTCAAAATGTGTTGTACATAAGTCATCTGAATCCTTTCTGGAATATGGCTGGAGGTAAGATAAATGAAGGCTCCAACGAAACCCATCTTCTCTGCTTCTGACCACCACGAGGCTCTATGCCTTTCTTTACGCAAGAGCCCTTCACTTTGTCATCTTTCCCAGCAATCCTTTACCCACCACACTTCTCATCTTGTGGTCCCTCAGCCATGACCACCTTCCTGTTCAAGGTCAGCAGCCTATTTCAACCCACATTCCCTTTGAGGGCTGTTGCCCAGGCTGGCTTCTTCCGTTCCTGGCTTCTCATATAACTGACTCCTTCTCATCCTCATCCTATCACCTCATTGTTACCTCTTCAGAGAAAAATTCCCTGCCTACCTTTCTAAGTAAGTTCCTCCCACACCCTGCTATTTCTATAGCACTTATCTTGTGCATTTCCTTTTATGTGTATATATATTTTTTATTTGTGTGCTATCTGATTCCCTACTAGATTAAAGATCCACAAAGATAGAACACATGTCTGTTTCTCTCATCTTTCTATACCTAGCCCCTGACCTGATGCTCCAAACCTAGTAGATTCTTTTATCTCCCTGGCCCTGAGGTGTAACACCTTTCGTGTGCGTGTGCGTGTGCGTGTGCGTGTGTGTGTGTATTTTAATTGAGATGAAATTCACATAACATACAAGTAACTTTTTTTGAGGTATCATTCTCATTTTATTTTTTCATTGAAGTAGAGTTGACATACAATAGTATATTAGTTTTAGGGGTACACCATAGTGATTTGACATTTACATACATTACAAAATGCTCACTACAATAAGTATAGTTACTATCTGTCACCATACAGAGTTATTACAATATTATTGACTATCTTCCTTGTACTGTTTTTTATATCACCGTGACTTATTTGTTTTATAACTGGAAGTTTGTACCTCTTAATCCCCTATACCTATTTCACCCATCTCCCCAACCCACTCCCTTTCAGGCAACCATCAGTTTGTTCTTTGTTTTTATGTGTCTGTCTTGTTTTGTTTGTTTTTAGGTTCCACATATAAGTGAAATCTTACATTATTTGTCTTTATCTGTCTGACTTATTTCACTTAGCATAATACCCTCCAGATCCATCCATGGTGTCTCAAATGGCTAGATTTCATTGTCTTTTATAGCTGAGTAATATTCCATTGTGTATATATACCACAGCTTCTTTATCTGTTCACCTATTGATGGACACTTGGGTTGCTTCCATATCTTGGCTATTGTAAATAATGCTGCAATGAACATAAGGGTGCACACATCTTTTCAAGATAGTGATTTCATTTGCATTTTCATGGGATAAATATCCAGAAGTGGAATTGCTGGATTGTGTGGTTTTCCTATTTTTAATTTTTTGAGGAATTTCCATGCTATTTTCCAGAGCGGGTGCACCAATTTATATTCTTACCAGCAGTGCAGTAGGGTTCCCTTTACTCCACATCCTTGCCAACACTTGTTGTTGCTTGTCTTTTTGTTATTAGCCATTCTGACAGGTGTGAGGTGATGTCTCATCATGGTTGTGGTTTGCATTTCCCTGATGATCAGGGATGCTGAGCATCTTTCCATGGCAGGGCAGGAGCAGCTTTGAGGGGACACTGATCTCAGCCGAGCTGCTGTAGAGGAGCTTCTACCAGGATGGGCAGATTGGGTGGGGCAGGTCCACAGGGCAATTCCAGGGCGAGGCGAGTGGTGCCTGCAAGGTAGACAGAGAGAGTGAGAACTGGCACCAGTCAGTGCATCAGGCCAGCTAGACAGAAGGGGAGGGTAAGAGGAAAGGCCTCCAGCTCTTCTGTTCCCAAAGCAAGTGCCTACAGATCCCTGCCTTTCTATCACATGCCCTGAAATTAGTCAATAAATCTCCTTCACACATGGCCCAAGCACTTTTGAACCCACTGCCTCTGTGCTGGGTCTTGGAGTGAGTGAGTTTGTGTGCAAGCCATTTAAAAGCAGAGTCTCGGTTTCCTATGGCCCTCTGGCTTTCCTGGAGGTGAGCCACACTGATTTTCAAAGCCGGACATTGTGAGAGCTTGTCATCCCAGTGCAGGTCCCCAGGCAGGGGGGGCTGTGCCCCACGTGGGTCTTGACTCCCTTGCCCCCCAGGGGGAGCTCCACACCTATGTATTCCCCGTCCTCTTGTAGATCACATCACCTTGCAGGTGGGTCCTGACCAGACCTTGTCTCTGCTCCCTTTCAACTCTTCTCCTTGTGGTTTTTCTTTATAACTTTAGCTGTGGAAGATCTGTTCTGCTAGTCTTCAGGTCCTTCTCAGAGAGAATTGTTCTATACGCAGTTGTAGCCTTGGTGTGTCCATGGGAGGATATGAGCTCAGGATCCTCCTACTCTGCCACCTTCGAAAATGTTACGATTAACCATTTTGAAGTGCCCAACTTAGTGGCAGATCGTGCGTTCATAATATTGTGCCACCACCATCTCTCTCCACATAGAAGGTTCTTAATTCATATTTTTAATGAATACATAAGTCAATAAAACTATTGACTAAAATTTGCTACTTTTTCACATTTGGCTCACCATAGCCCCATTTTCCCGTATTAATGGCCACAGAGGCCTGAATACATATACCAGAGACTGCCAACCTAGGGCACACCAGCCTGGCAGAGAAGAAACAGTTCTTTAATGTAAGTGTTGGACTGATGTCTTTTTACTTTTCCAACTCTCCTTTTTCAAAACAACAAGCTTCCTCATTGCTTAACAACTCCCATTTTTCTTTATTAAATAGGCTTTATTAAACATGAAGGATAAGACCTGTTCTCAAGGTCTAAACATTCTTTCTGATTATTTTCCCCAAAATGAAAGTGGTAGTCAGAACGGTGCACACTCCTCCTCCTCTGAGGAGGTGCAACAGGTCCATGGTCTACAGGAGATGCATGTACTATTTTCAGTGTTGTAAGAAGCCTACTCTTTTCTCTTCATCACAGTAAGATGTAGAAATCATGTGCTAATCAGTATACCAAGATTTATTCATGACACCCAAATAGACATATTCACGGGTTCCTTTTCCACTAAGTGTTTGCTGTAGCCAGTAGGAAATTTCCTCTTTGTTTGTTCACTTATTTATTGAAATCTCCTCTTTAGAATTTGCTTTTGTATTTAGGCTTTCCTAAATTGCAATGATCTCAAATGTAAGATATTTATCATTGAATTCGGTTATTGAATATTTTAAAACAAAGTGTTAAGGTCTAAGGGCAGGCAAGGCATTATGAATTATTTAACAGTGAAAGTTAAAGGTGAAAGGACACATCAGCCTTGAAAGCTGAGCATTCTGAGAGTATTATGTAATTGATCATGCATCCCCATGATATGTTTGGTCTTCAGGACTGTACAGATGCCCACCCATCCTGAATGTGTAACAACTTGTACCAGATAGATGGAAGAGATTCTCATTTCCTATTGATTCCTGTCCTATAAAATTGTACCACTTCCTTTCATTTCCACCTCCTACTAGCCTCGATGAAGGCCTCCTGTTCTCAGTCCTGATCAGTTATAGTCTGGTAACTTGCCAGTCTCCAGCCCTCCCACCTTCTACCCATCAAAACTTACTTTGAGATAGGATAGCCTAAAGCACAACACATTATCTCTTCACTTCTCCTACCAAAATCTTTCAGAGTCTTTCCGTGTCCTGTACAATCCACATCTCTTAGCTTCACATTCAAATCCCCTATCATTTGGCTCCTCATTCAAGCCTGAGACTGAACTCCTCCCATGCTGTGGCCCAGGAATGCTTTGTGCATCCTGCCTCCGGCCCCTGTCCTGGATCTCCTAGAATGCCCTTCTTCCATTCCTTCCTTCCCAAGTCTGCCCCCCCCATCCTGTTCAGATCATTATCCTTGCACCTCAAATATTTGCTTGCATTCATCTGTCTCTAATTCTTTCTCCTTGCTCCTAAAAGAGTGCCAGGCATAGATGTGATGGGCACTTTGGTGTGTTGCAGTAAGCCTTAGCAAAAACCCTCCCCTGACCTCCGTCCTCCAATAAATAGGAATCTTTCCCTCTTCTGAAGACCCTTTCCCCTTTATTTATATTTCTCACAGATAAATTTTCACTGTCTAGTTCATATCTTTCCTAAAAGACTGTAAGTCCTTTGAAGGCGCAGTCAGTGTAATCAGTGATTAATCTTTGCAACCCCTGTCCGGCATAGTGCCGTGCCTCATTCCTGGCAATATTTGCTTGATGAAAGAATATCATTTATCTTAACAACCAGTGTAAGCACACTGGGGAAGTTTGAGCTGATTTTTTTTAAAGGGTAGTTTGTTGAATTTGTATATTAAAAGGCTGCTCCAAAGTACTTCAGAATGTGATCAATAAGTGTTATTTGTTTATTATGATCTATGAATTCGTGATTTTTATGTTTATATACTAACTGTCATGACCAGTATGCCAATTCATATTTCCTTTAGGGGGGCGGGGGATGAACTATCCGGTACCAGTTTGTAGCATCTATAGACCCTCGTTAGCACTGCTACTCCTTTAGAATTAGGATCCCTTTGATTGTTTCTATATATAACTCGTTGAAATTCACCAGTGCTTGGTTATTTGTGCACTTTAAATGACTCAGCAGAATTATTACATGTCCACAGTTATTTACTTATTTGTTTGTTTGTTTTGGAAAAGGACCAGAATCTTCATTTTGTTATATTCTGGTTGGACCTTACCTTTGAAATGCCGATAAATTCTGACCCAAGTTACTGCTTATTCTTCTCATCTAAAATACTTTCAAAATTAACCATAAGCTGAAATAGATGGATCATCATATTAAAATGTAGGCTGTTTTTATGAAAGCCCATACAATCAACTTTGGAAGCCCAGTGTACTTACAATGTCTGACCGATAGCAGCTCTGAATGTATTTGAAAAGTGATTTGACAAGTGCTGAAGATTTTTTGTCATTTTTCTTTTAGAAAAGCAGCTAAATATTCCTTACGTAGTAAATGAAAGAGGTCTTCAAAGAGTAGCAGCTCACATAACTGGAAGCAGTCGGAGAAGAAGCATGTTTCCAGTTCCAAGTAAGAGAAACAACAAATAAATGGCTTAAAGGAAGGCAATGGAAAACTTTGTCCCAAATAATTTATTCTTTTAACTTGTACATGAAATGTTGATATGGTTGTCTACAAAATGTTCGTAGGAATCTGGGCTCAGATTGACTCTTTTCAGAAGCAAGATTACAAGACAAATAGTTCAATAACTGCTCCCGGGAAAATTATGTGGTGGGAGAACTTTGTCTTTGACTTTCCCATGCCCCTATTTGTGCTTTTCTTCCTCTTCTTCAAAGTAATTTCTCTTTCTCACTCCCATCAAATCTTCCTCCTCTTTAAAGGTTCTAAATCAGTTATTTACTTTCACCATGAATCACTAGGTATTCCTTGTGGCATTTGTATTTGGTTGAATTATGGGAAGTTGCCAATATTTGACCATTTTTCACTCACAGATATGTCAGTTTCATATAGCTTAACCAATTAAGGTAAGCCTATTTCTTACCTAAAGAACCGGTGTCCACACAGTGTTGTAACAGTGCAAGAGTCTTACGTTCTAAATATCTATGTTGGAATACCAGCTCCTCTTTACCTAGATATATGTTTTGAGCAAATTACCTAATCAAATCAAGCTTCAGTTTCTTCAGATACAAAGTAAAGATAATATTTAAGTCATAAAATACTGAAGATTAGCACAGGCAAAATTCCTGTGTATTGTAAGTACTCAATAAATAGTTGCTTTTATTATGATGAGAGGTTTTATCCCAAGTGAAAGAAATTTCAGGTATCAGTTAAAATATGAAAAGATTGTGGGATTTTTTTTTTCGGGGCAGTTGCCTTCCTGGTATTCCTCAGCTCATGCTTTATCAATGATTGACATGTTCTGCCTATGAGTGAGATCATTATTATAATGTTACTGTTTACTATTCATTAAGAAACACGATAGTTGTTTTATACTGTTGAAAAACTAAATTTTGCACCAATTCTGGAGATGAGCCAAAGTTAAAGGAATATCATGTTTTGGTAGGGCCCTTTTTCACTCAAAGTCTTTGGGAGCTAAAGATCCAGGGGTCTGAAGATCTTTAAATCTGAGCTTTCTTTGCCAAACCATGTGCCCTGTCTTATTGTGGACTAGAGATGCTTTCTGCTAGAATGGTGCCTTTGACTCTCGATTGCTGAGAAGGACCAAGAAGGAACCCAAAGAGACCCAAAGAAATAGCAATAAGTTCTGAGCTCCAGGCTTGAAGAAATAGATAATGTTTCTTTTAGTATCCTTATCTGTTACTCATTTGCACTCAGCAGCATAGGAAGGGAGGCAGGGGTTTGGGACAGAAGTTCTGTCCAGGAGTAAAGATTGCCATCTGAGTTAATCATCTCCCATGCTACAGTTTAGACCTGAGTGTCACAGGCATGGCCTAAGTGGTGGATGAGGTACAGAAAAGTAAGGGACTTCCAGCAGATCGCAATGATACAGTAGCCTCCAGATTCAGCCTCCAGACTGAAATTTAGAATCCTTGTAAGATTGAAGGAGCAAGAAGTTTTATACTAGATTGAAATTCTTTAAAATCCCCAACAGAAAATTGGCTAGCCACAGCTACTGAGATAATTCTTACCTTTGCTACAAACTTCTTTCTTTTAATTTTCTTTCTCCCTAAACTTCATCCAGGTTCCAAGAATGAAAAAGCTTTGGGCCAGAAAATAAACTCCTGGGAGTCATCAAGAAAAGGACATTCCTTCTTGAATAATTTGCACTTGAGGAATGGAGAGCTTATTATCCATCAAAGGGGGTTTTATTACATCTATTCCCAAACATACTTTCGATTTCAGGAACCTGAGGAAACTTCGGGAACAATTTCAACAGAACAGAACAGAAAGAGAAACAAACAAATGGTACAATATATTTACAAATACACAAGTTATCCTGACCCTATACTACTGATGAAAAGTGCTAGAAATAGTTGTTGGTCTAAAGATTCTGAATATGGACTCTATTCCATCTATCAAGGTGGGATATTTGAACTTAAGGAAAATGATAGAATTTTTGTCTCTGTAAATAATGAGCAATTGATTGACATGGACCAAGAAGCCAGTTTTTTTGGAGCCTTTTTAATTGGCTAAATAATCTGCAAAGAAAAACATTATTCTCAAAGTGACCATTCACAGCAAAGCAAGGAAGTCTGAGCAAAGCCACTTCATCCAAAAGACCAAAAAGGCAACACACGCTCCTCTAATATCTCTGAATATGACCAAGTCATTCTAAGAAAGTGAAATTGCCGAAAGAACTTTCAGGGCTCTAGCAGGTGTCAGTTTGCTAGCAGAAATCTAGAGGATTCTTTTTCCAAACACTTGTGTAGCAATAAACAGCTGTCTTTATTATCTACTCTTGTGAAGATTCCAGAAGAAAGATTAATGATCCATCTATTTTTTATGTAGGCTCCACATGGAGCCCAACACCGACCGGGCTTGAACTCACAACCCTGAGATCAAGACCTGAGCTGAGATCTAGTCAGACACTTAACTGACTGAACCACCCAGGCATCCAATGATCCATCTCATAAGTATTATATCACCTTGGTCGCTTCCAGGTTACCATAAGAGACAACATTGCCAAAGCTGAAAGAAAGGGGAACCACTAAATGTCATGATCTTGGGAGGTAGCCTCTGTCAATATATGCGATGTGCAAAGGCTGTTTGTGTTGTGCATGACCTCACAGGAGTTATCTCATACACCTAGATTTGATGGAAATAAGAACATTCTACTCAAAATAATACCATTTTGTTAAAAAAAACTAAATTTATGCTCAATGAACAAGGAATTATTTCTGAATGACTTGTGATTTTCACTACCAAAAGTCAGGCCGGTCAAAAGCACTGATAATATTTTTGATAAAGGACTCCATAATGAGTGAACAGCTAATCAGAACAAGGGAATTTGGTCTCATGGGAGCAGGAGGAGAAATAGGAAACTGGAAATGCCAAACACAGGTAAATTAGCAGAAAAGAACCTAGGAAAGATCTGATCCCCACCCCCTACCCTCTTACCCCATCCTCCACTGCCAAATGTCATTGTCTAGTATACAACTGTTTCAGTTACTTGCCTCTGCCAGAAGAGCAATTGCTTTTTTCTGCCAAAATTGTGACACAAAACATTTTATTTCACCATTTAATCTAACCAGTTGGAGAAAAAAAATTAGTTGGAGTATTTGTCCAATCTCTTCTAACTGTTGTCCTAAACACAGCATAATTCATACTTTGGGCTTGCTTGTATGCTCAAACGTTCATTTAAACGTATCTGATCAAATAAGTTTTTTCAAAAGAGGCTCATTTAAATTTAAATTTACAACATGCTCCAGATACCTGGCACTTCTGGCGCTTCTTACTCTATTTTCTATAACACTACTTAAGTTTTTACATACTGACAAATTGACTTCATTTGTTACTCTGTTTTTTAAAGCCTGCCTCCTCTCACCAGAATGTAAGCACTGTGATGGCAGGGAACATGTAGTCCTGTTCAGATCTGTAACCTCAGGACCTGGGACAGTACTTTAACATATACCCACACAAAATATATTTGTGAATAAATGAATGATGGAGTGAATGAATACCTAATCCTATGGGAAAAAAAATTTAAAACCAGCCACTGCCTCATCCCTTATACTGAAAAAAATGTTGAGGAATTTCAAAAGTAATCTCAAAGTGAAGAAAACCTTTTATTTTCTTATTTTTTTAAAGATTTAATTTTAAATAATCTCTACACCCAACGTGGGGCGCTAACTTACAACCCCAAGATCAAGAGCTGTGCACCCTACCAACTAAGTCAGCCAGGAGCTCCGAAGACCTTTTAAACAAGGATTTAAAACTCAAAGAAAAAGACTACAATGTGTGTTAAATAAAACTTTGAAATGAAAGAGAAAATTAATTTTTACTTTATATTTTTATACTAAATATGTAAGATATGTTACTTTTTCAATAAAAATGACATGTTAAAATGTGTAGTTTTTGTTTAATACTTGCATTTGTTTTATAGTACCAAGATTATTAAAGTCTTCTTCTAATCTCTTCTAATCTCTTTTTCATGATATCTTTTATCTGACATATCTTACAGAAGAAAGGAAATAATTGCTCACTTTTTACTTAATGCATTAAAATATGTCAGTCTTTTCCTTTATAGTTAACGCTTTTGTTATGGGTTGGATTGTGTCCCCCAAAAAGGGTATGTTGAAGTCCCACTCCTCACTACCTCAGAATGTGACCTTATTTGGAAATAGGGTTGTTGCAGAAATAATTAGTTAAGATGAGGTCATAGTGGAATAGTGTGGGTTTTTATAACAATAAGCCTGGTATTCTTTTTTTTTTTTTAAGATTTTATTTATTTATTTTAGAGATAGAGTGGGAGGAAGAGCAGAGGGAGAGAGAAAAGCAGACTCTGTGCTGAGCACGCAGAGCCTGATGCAGGGCTCCATCTCATCACCCTGAGATCATGACCTGAGCCGAAATCAAGAGTGGACGTTCAACTAACTGAGCCACCCATGTACCCCGAGACTGGTATTCTTATTAAAAGAAGGAAATTATTTAGAAACAGGCACACAGAGAGAACTCCATGTTACAACAGAGGCAGAGATTAGAATGATGGCTGTCACCAGAAGCTAGGGAGAGACAAAGAAAGATTCTACCGAGTCTCAGAGGAAGGATCTGAGACCCAGAGTCTCAGAACTCTGTGGACACCTTAATTTTGAACTCCTGGCCCCCAGAGTTGTGAGAGAATAAATTTCTATTGTTGAAAGCCACTCAGTTTGCAGCACCTTGATCCAACAGCCCTAGAAAACTAATACAGATTTTCGTACTATGTCCAAGAAATCTTTTCTACTGATACTAGGCAGACATTGCCATATTTTTTTTTCTAAAAGCTTTAAAGTTTGGCCTTTCATAGTTTGATAGCAACACTCAAGTCAAACTTATGTGTGATGTGAGATAGGGATGTAATTTTGTCTTTTACTACAGTAGTAGCCAGTTGTCCAACACTGTTCATTGGAGATTCCATTTTCTTCCCTACGGATTTTAATGTTTCTTCTATCATATACCAAGCTCTGATGGGTCTCTTTCTGTGCTCACTTTTTTCCCCCTATCGTTCTAGTTGTCCATTTTTATGGCATTTGGGTTTTTTAAATTGTGGTAAAATATACATAAAATTGATCATTTTAACCATTTTTGACTGTACAATTCAGTGATATTAAGTACATTCACATTGTTGCACAACCATCAACACTATACATCTCCAGAATATTTTCATCATCCCAAACTAAAACTTTGTACCCATTAAACATTCTCCCTCCCCTCAGCCCCTAGTGACCACCATATGGCTTTCTTTCTCTATGACTTTGACTATTTTAGGTACCTCATGTGAATAGAATTATACAATACTTGTCCTTTGTGTCTGGCCTATTTCACTCAGCATAATGTCTTCAAGATTCATCCATGTTGAAGTATGTGTCAGAATTTTATTCCTTTTTAAAGCTGAATAATATTCCATTGTATATATTTGTTTATTCATTCACCTGTCAATCATATCATCTGACTTTAATGGTTACTTTGCTTTACTACAAATTTGCTTTACTGCAAATCTAGATATCCAGTATGTATATTCATCTTCTTTAGCCCTCTATTTCAAAATAACATAGTCTAGTCTTAGCCCTTACTTTTCCCTGTGAATTTAGAAACTGCTTGGAAGTTGTATGTGTAGACACACACATACATGCACACATACACACAATCTTTTAGATATTTTGATAGTGTAGGGGAGGAAAATTTTCTCTTTGACCCCCTTAGCATGCTCAGCTTAAGCATTAAACTGACATAAGATAGATTAACAAGAGAAAAATATACAAGTTTTCATTATTATTATTATTATTTTGGGCAGAGAAGTGACCAGAAAGGTAAGGGTTGGTTTAACAAGGTTCTGTCTCTGAACCAGGCAGGCGGCTCTCACCAGACATGACATCTACTGGCACCTTAATCTTGGACTTCCCAGCCCCCAGAACTGTGAGAAATGAATTTCTGTTGTTTATAAGCTATGGTATTTTGTTATGGCAGCCCAAACAGACTAAGACAAGGGGTAAAGAGATTACATGAAGAAATAATGGCTATAAACTTCCCAAATTTGAAGAAAGATGTGAATCTACAAATCTGAGAAGCTCCATGAACTCCAATCAGATAAAGTAAAGAGGTCCATACCAAGACACCTTATAATCAAACTGTTAGAGACAAAGAGAGAATCTTGAAAGCAGTAAGAGAAAAACGACTTATCACACAGAAGATTCTCAATAAGATAACAAGTCAATTTCCCAGCAGGAACAGTAGGGGCCAGAAGATGGAGGGATGTTGTATTAAAATGCTGAAAGCAAAACAATGTCAACTGAGAATTCTATATCCAGTAAAACTGTTCTTCAAAAAATGAGGGAGAAATTAAGATATTCCTAGATAAACAAAAGCTGAGCAAGCTCATTAGCACTATATCTGCCCTCCCAGAAGTGCTAAAGGGAATGCTTCAGGTTGAAATAAAAGGACACTATACAATAATTTGAAGCCACATGAATATATAAATATCTCTAGTAAAGGAAAATACATGATAAAATATCAAAACTATTACTGTTGTAATTTTAGTTTGTAAAATTCATTTTTATTTTCTATAGTATTTAAAGTCAAATGCATAAGATAATCATAAATCTATGTTAATGGGTACAAAATATATAAAGATGTAATTTGTGACATCAATAACATGAAGCTGTAAAGGAATAATTTTTGTATGCAGCTGAAGTTAAGTTGGTATCAAATCAAATTAGATTGTTATAATTTTAGGATATTAAGTGTAATCCCCATGGTAACCCCAAAGAAACTATCTATAGAATGTACACAAAACAAAATGAGGAGGGAATCAAAACGTGCCACTGTAAAAATTTAACTAAACACAAAGGAAGGCAGTAATGGAGGAAGTGAGGAACCTAACGCTGTAAGATATACAGAAAACAAAAAATGGCATCTTTTAAATATACTAGATTAAACTACCCAATCAAAAGGCAAAGAGTGAACATGTGAATAGAAACAACAGTCACCTCAGAAGGAAAACAGCCAATTTGACAGAAGGGGAAAGACATAAGAAGGAATGACTTATCACACAGAAGATTCTCAATAAGATAACAAGTCAATTTCCCAGCAGGAACAGTAGGGGCCAGAAGATGGTGGGATGTTGTATTAAAATGCAACTTAAAAAATTAAAACAAAAGTTGTGAGATTTCTTAGATTTTATAAGTTGGGACCGTAGAGCAATTGAGCTGTGAATACACAATGTTCTCCAAGTGAAGAGAAGAAGACCCCCTGAAATGATTCAGAGATCATTAAGTTTGCCTCCTTGGTATTAAAGTTTGGAAATCTATTGCTTGAGTTTCAGCAGATCAGACAACCCATGCTCATAACTATAAGAGTGGTACCACCCAAAGCTGTGTGGTCAGGACCACCCAAAGCCATAGAGGGCAAACCCTTGCCCAGCAGAGTGATGGGGTGTAGCTTCTTCCACCATTTCAAAGAACGGACCCACCCAGAACTATGGGCATGCAAAGCAGCCAGAAGATCACAGAGAGGAGGAAGTCAATGCAGAAAGCCCCCTGCTAGCAAAATGCCTGATAGAATCATGCCCCCAGAACCCCAGACCAACAGAGCCATTAGTGTGTAATTTCAGACAGGGAAAGCAGCAGGTAGGCAAATCCAACCCATAAAAGCTTCCGTATGAGCTTCCCCAGAAAAGCCTTGGGGGCAAGGATAACCCAATATTCCCAGAAGATACTATCTTCACTCCACTGGGCCTGGCAGGCAGAGCATCTAATTAAAGATTATTTAAGCCTTAAAATTTGATGTTTGCTCTGTTGGGTTTGGACTTGTTAGGCTGCCTCTTTCTTTCCTATTTCTCCTTTGTAGAATGGGGAGTTTACCTTTTGTGTGTCCTACCATTTTATTTTGGAAGCACATGACTTGCTTTTATCTCACAGATTCACAGCTGGAGAGCAATTTGCCTCAGAATGAATTGTACCTTAAGTCTAATCCATATCTGATTTAGACGATATTTGTATGAGACTTTGAACTTCAGAATTTTGAGTTGATGCTAGAACAAGTTAGGCGTTTAGGACTATTGAGATGGAGTGAATGAATTTTACATGCAAGAAGGACATGAATTTGGGGGGCCGGGTCTTGAGGGCTCCACCTTCATGGATGAGGTTAATGTCCTCATAAAAAATAAAAAAATAAAGGCCTGAGAGAGGTTCCTTGCCCCTTCTGTCATGGGAGGACACAACAAGAAGCCTTAGACCCAGAAGAGGGCCCTCACCTGATCACACTGGCAAGACCATCATCTTGACTTACAGCCTCCAGAACTGTGATAAATAAATTTCTGTTGTTTATAAGTCACCTAGTCTGTGGCATTTTGTTAGAGCAGCCCAGATGAACTAAGACACTCTCTGATCAAAAGGCATAGAGTGGATTGATAGATTCAAAAAATTAGATCCAGTGATATGCTGTCTACAAGAGACTAACTTTAGATTGAAAGACACACATAGACTGAAAATGGAGG